GATCGTTTGTCGGAGGCCTCAAGATGCGAGAACGGCAAAGTCAACATGTTTAACAAACATGCTGTTCTGTTGGAGCCCTTCTGGAGAGCATCTGAGAGAACGCTTGGGCCATCTTGAACCGTCGTGTGACCATCTTGGAATCATCCTGGGCGAGTTTAATAGCCTCTTGGACCCTCTTGGGCTGTCTTGAGGCCATCTCGGACTGTCTTCGGAAGTCTTGGAGGCCATCTTGGGTATCTTGGAGCCAGACTGTAGATTTCGGAGGTCGCCCAGGTCCGCCCGCTTGGCCGGCGGCTTGGGCCGGAGGCCATCGGGAACTTGCTATTGGAAGGGCCATACAGATCTAAATCTAGACATGCCGAGCACCCCTGCACAAGAAAAAGGGGGCGGCGGATTATCGAAGACGCCTAATTACGGCGAATCACCGCCGCCCCCCGCCTTCTAGAATCGCCCATGTGGCCGAGCGTTGTGGCAAGAGCTCTTCCAAGCTATCGGACCATGTGCTCCCCCAGCCGTTGTGGAAGCCCTTCGGGGAACACGTGGGGGAGGGTGGCGGGGAAGATCAGGAGGAGGCGGAGGAGGAGGTGGAGGAGGTGGAGGAGAAGGAGGAGGAGGAGGAGGAGGAACAGGGGGCATCTTGGGAGCCTCTGGGGACACTCTTGGAGCCTCCTGGGAGTTTCCTGGGAGCCTCTTGGAGGCATCTTGGGGGCCCTCTTGGAGGCCTCTTGGGGGCCTTCCGGGGCTTCTCGGGCACCTCTTTGACCATCTTGTAGGCTCCTGGCCCGTCTGACGCCGTGGGAAACCGTCTTTGGGGCCACTTTGGGCCGACTTGGGGCCCTCTTGAGGTGCTCCAGGGCCGTCTTGGTGGCAATCTTGGGCGTCTTGGAGGCTTCTTGGGCCGTCTTGGGGCCCTCTTGGGCCCGTCTTGGAGGCCTCTTGGGCTGCTCTGAGGCCATCCTGGAGGCCTCGTGGGCGATCTTGGGGCGATCTTTGGGGGCTCTTGGGCTGTTTCAGGCCGTCGGAAAGCCGAAAAGAAGCAAATGCCACAATCCTTCAAAAACCATAGGAAAATCAATGATTTTGGCCTCTTCGGGTTTTCCTGAGGGCTCTCTTAGAGGCATCTTGGGTCTTGGGCCATCGTATGGCCATCTTCGGCAGTCTTGGCAGGCTCCTGGCCCGTCTGACGCCGTCGGAAGCCGTCTTGGGGGCTTCTCTGGGCCGACTTGGGGCCCTCTTGAAATGCTCTAGGGCCGTCTTGGAAACTGTCTTGGGCTTCTTGGAGGCCTCTTGGGCCGTCGTTGGGCCCTCTTGGGCCCGTCTTAGAGGCCCCTTGGGCCGTTCTGTGACCATCTTGGAGGCCTCCTGGCCGATCTTTGGGGGCTATTGGGCCGTCTCGGGCCGTCGGAAGGCCGAAAAGAAGCAAATGCCACAATCCTTCAAAACCATAGGAACATCCATGATTTGGGGCTCTTGGGCCTTCCTGGGGGCTCTCTGGGAGGCGTCTTAGGCCATCTTAGAGCCATCTTGGGCCGTCTTGGTGGGCTCCTGGCCCGTCTGACGCCGTCGGAAGCCGTCTTGGGGGCCTCTGTGGGCCGACTTGGGGCATTCTTGGTGCGCTTCAGGGCCGTTTTGGAGACCATCTCGGGCGTCTTAGATGCCTCCGAGGCCGTCTTGGGGCCGTCTTGGGGGCCTCTTGGGCCGTCATGGGGCCATCTTGGAGGCCTCTGGGGCCATCTTCGGGCGACCTTGGGGGCCTCTTGGGCCGTCTGGGGTCGTCGGAAGGCCGAAAAGGTGCAAATCTCAAAATCTTTCAAACACCCAAGGAAAATCTATGATTTTGGCCTCTTCGGGCCTTTCTGGAGGACCTCTTGGAGGCCTCTTGGGCCGTCTTGGAGGCCTCTTGGAAGCTTCTCAGGCCGTCTTGGGCCATCTTGAGGCTATCTTCAGCCGTCTTGGGTGCATCTTGGGCTGACTTGGAAGCGTTTTGAGGCCATCTTACCCATCTTGGAGGCCATCTTGGCCGTCTTGGAGGCATCTTGGAGGCCATCGTGGACCATCTTGAGCGAAGAAGCCGACGAGGTAGGCAGCTGGCGGGACGGGCCGAAGCCCCATGGGGAGTTCTTTTGGAAAAAGAACCAAAACCAAAACCAAAAGGATCTAGCACGCCAGGCACCCCTGTGATGAATCAACAGGGGGTGGCGGATCTAGTGGCTTCGGGCCCATCCCGTCACGTCGCGTGGGTGGTGGACAAGAGGCCTCTTGGGGGCTTCTCGGAGTCCTTTTAACGGCTTCGTGGAGGCCTCTTTGGATCCCAAGAGGCCCAAGAGATCGCCTCAAGGCTCCCGTGAAGGCCCCAAGAGGACCCAAAGAGGCTCCCAAGACGGACCCAAGACGGCCCAAGAGGGTCTAGAGGCTCCCAAGAGAGCCCCAAGAGGGTCTCAACAGGCTCCCAAGAGGGCCCGAAGAGACCCCCAAGAGAGCCCCAAGACGACCAAAGCTTTCCAAGACGCCCAGAAAGTGCCCCAAGTCGGCCCAAGTGAGCCCCAAGACGGCCCCAAATGACCCCAAAACGACCACCAAGAAGGCTCGGATACGCCACATAACAGAGGCTTCCAAGAGCTCACAGTGACGTCATAAGCTCACAACACCATGGCTCCTCATTAATATCGACGACTGGCGTAAACAAACTCTGAGGAGGAGGAGCACCACGAACAGCAGGAGGAGGAGGAGGAGGAGGAGGAGCAGGAGGAGCAGCATGAGGAGGAGGGAAGAGGAGGATGAAGAGGACGAGGATGGAGGCGGAGGAAGAGGAGGAGGAGAGGAGGAGGAGGACGAGGTTCAGGTGGAGGAGGAGGAGGAGGAGGAGGAGGAGGAGGAGCAAGCAGAGGAGGATCAGAGGAGGGGGAGGAAGAGGATGAGCAAAAAAGATCAGAAGGTGGAGGAGGAGGAGGAGGAGCGCTGATTTTCGATTGGTTGGTGAACAAGGAAGAGCAGAAGCAGGAGCAAGAGGAGCAAGAGTAACAAGGCCCCAACGAGTGAGTCTCGGCGCAAAAGACTCTTAACACCAAGAGTCGAGAGGCGAATGATGTCATGAGCATGTTCGAGCAAATTGCTGAGTGCGCTCTTTCCGTTCCCGTGCTGGCTCAGGTCTAGTGGCTTCCGGCCCATCCCGTCACGTCGCTTGGGTGGTGGATAAGAGGCCTCTTGGGGGCTTCTCGGAGTCCTTTTGAAGGCTTCTTGGAGGCCTCTTTGGGTCTCTTGGGAGCCTCCAGGGGCCTCTTGGCGGCCTCTCGGGGAGCATGCTGGCTGTCTCGTGGGGTCCTCGTGGGCACTTCTTGGGAACCTCAGGGGCCGTCTTGGAGCTATCTTGGCGGTTTTGGGATTGTTTTCGCCATGAAAAGCTAAGAAAGTGAGCAGTACAAACCAAGAGTTATGTCGGTCTCTTGGCCAGCCCCCAGAGAGTCCAAGACTAGAGGCCCCAGGAGAGCCCCAGGACAGTCCGTTGGGGCTCTCTTACGACACGCGGGGGAGTGTGGACTCCCAACCGCGCCCCTACGGCCTTGAGAAATAGTCCCGCGGGGAGTCCCGAGGGCGCCAAGGAGCGCCCCAGAATTGTGGGAATTTGGGGTTTATAAAACAAATTTGCACACATGATTTGTAGGACTTTCTGGGAACTGAGAATGCTCCTCTCGGTGCCTCCCGGCGCGGTGGCGGATGCGCACTGCAGCGCTCTAGTACGATGCCCATTCTATTGCATTGATGTGCACACAATTGCATCGCTTTGCGTATTATATCACCCACGCCGCGGTTGTAACCCTGGTTTCAGTACCGGGTTCTCCCCGCGGTGTCGGAGTCCGTCTGTCGCCACTTCCGGTGCGCTGATTGCGGGCACGTGACCCGTCCTTTTCAGGGCCTCTGGTGACTCTGGAGTGCGACTTTGCTGGCGCCACCCCATGCACCCGTCCAGCCCTGGGTCACAGCTTGGATCCCCAAGTTGTTTCCACGATTCCGTGGTGCCCTCGCGCCATTTTGGCCGCGCTGCAGCTTGTCTGCTCTTCGCACTTGTGCGTGCTGCTCCTGTTGGACCTCCCGTCCTCGGCCACCCTGGTACCTCGCAGCTTGCCGATTTCTTGCCCAGTCTGGGCACCCAATTCGACTTCCGACCGTCGGTTTACTTGGCTGCGGCCACCCTGGCACTTTCGCAGTAGTCCGGGGGCTTGCGCCCTTGCAACTAATTCTCGTCTGCAGCTTTCCCTGGTTGCCGGTTACCCTGGCCGCCCTCTGCCTCCGGTTCGTTGCACGCGACCCTGGCAGCATTGGTGATCCGCCTACCGCCTGCCCTTTCAGACTAGACGGCCCGCCGCTGAGGTACTGCGTGAGGCTCCGGCCCACCGCTTTAGGTTAATTCGTCTGTGCGTGCCCCGCTCTGACTGGACTCGCCGCTGGCGCGCTCGCCTGCGGCCGCTGACTTAAAACGTATCATATCACCAAACAGAAGCACTTCTGGGGAGGGGGAGGCGCCCCTCGTGACCATCTTCAGCGGGCTTGCCGGCGCAATCAACAAGTCTGTCGCGACAGTCGTCCGAGGCGGCGCCATGCAGGGGTTCACGAGTCCCCGTCCTCCGCCCTCCTCCGACCCCCCTTCTCTCGCGGAAGCCGCTCTGGCACAAGACTGGACACCATCTGGATCCGAGCGCAGGTCCTTCGGCCCCCAGGCGCGCAGCATGGCGTGCAGCAAGCCGGCGCAGTGCGGCCCGAAGGGCGCCAGGAGGGCCGTGCTGGTGGCCGGCGCCGGTGCCGCCGCGGCGTCCTTGGCCCCGGGCTCCGGGCTGGGCCCCGGCTTCGCCGCCGGAGCGAGGGCGACGACAGCGGCCTCCCTGCGCGGGGTCGAGGCGCAGCCTGCGGCCCGCGCCGGCGTGGCCGCCCGCGGCGCCGCGGGCAGCGGCGCCGCGGGCAGCGGGGTGGGCGCGGGTGCTCTGGCGGGCGGCGCCGCGGCCGCTGCCAGGGCCGCCGCGCGCCGGCGGCGCGCAGGCCGCCCGGCGGCTCGGGCGCCGGGGCCCTCGCGGGCGGTGTCCAGCGAGGACGTCTTCGCCATGGTGCGCGCCTGGGTTCCCGACGAGGGCGTGGCGCGGTCCGCGTCGCTGCGGGCCCTGGCGGCGCTCGCGGCGACGGCGGCTCCGCTCGCTGCCTGCGCGGAGGGCGAGATGCCGCCGCCCCCGACGCCGATGTTCCAGCAGCAGCAGGGCATGGACCAGGGGCAGCCGGGCAGAGTCACCGGGCGCGTCACCTACTCGCGCCTGCTGGAGTTCGTCGACGAGGGCTCCGTGAAGCGCGTCGACCTCTACGACATGGGGCGCACGGGCATCGCCACCGTCTCCGTCGGCGGGCGCCAGCAGCAGCTGACGTGCGACCTGCCGGGTGCGACGTCGGGCCTCCTCGAGAAGCTCTCCCAGAAGGGGGTACAGATCGATGTGCACGCCCCCGAGAAGCCCAACGAGTTCCTCAAGGTGCTCGGCGACGTGGCCTTCCCGCTGCTCATCATCGGCGGCCTGCTGTTCTTCCGGAGCCAGTCGGGGGGGCGGGGGGGCATGCCCGGGATGCCGGGCATGCAGAACAAGAAGGAGATCCAGCTGACCCCGAACACGGGCGTGAAGTTTGAGGACGTGGCCGGCATCGACGAGGCGAAGGAGGAGCTGACCGAGATCGTCGACTTCCTGAAGGCGCCGGAGCGCTTCGTGAAGGTGGGCGCGAAGATCCCGAGGGGCGTCCTGCTGACTGGGCCGCCCGGCACGGGCAAGACGCTCATGGCCAAAGCACTGGCAGGCGAGTCCGGGGTCCCGTTCATCCAGTCGTCGGCCGCAGAGTTCATCGAGCTCTTCGTGGGCGTGGGTGCCTCGCGGGTTCGCGACATCTTCAAGCAGGCGAAGGAGAACTCCCCGTGCATCGTGTTCATCGACGAGATCGACGCCATCGGCCGGCAGCGCGGCTCCGGCATGGGCGGCGGGAACGACGAGCGGGAGCAGACCCTGAACCAGATCCTGACCGAGATGGACGGGTTCGAGGGCAACAGCGGCGTCATCGTCGTCGCGGCCACCAACCGCTCGGACATCCTCGACAGCGCCCTCCTGCGCCCCGGGCGGTTCGACCGCCGCGTGCAGGTCGACCTGCCCGACGTGAAGGGGCGGGAGCAGATCCTCAACGTGCACCTGCGGAACAAGAAGCTCGACGAGGAGATCAGCGTCGGCGAGGTCGCCAAGCGCTGCGCCGGGATGAGCGGCGCCGACCTGGAGAACCTGATGAATGAGTCGGCCATCCTCGCGGCCCGCCGCAAGAAGAAGTCCATCTCCATGGAGGACATCAACGACGCCACGGACCGCGTCGTGGCGGGCCTGGAAGGCAGGGCCCTGGCGGACGACGCGCAGAAGAAGCTGTTCGCCTACCACGAGGCGGGGAAGGCCCTCGTCGGCTCCCTGCTGCCCTACCACGACCCCGTCGCCAAGATGACCCTGCTCCCCCGGGGGCAGAAGAAGAGCCTCACCTGGTTCTCCCCGGACCAGGACCAGAGCCTCATCTCCGCGGCGTCCCTGAAGGCGCGCATCGCCGGCTTCCTCGGCGGTCGCGCCGCGGAGCAGATCGTGTTCGGGACCGGCCAGGTGACCACGAACGCCGCCGAGGACCTGAAGCGGGTCGACCAGGTCGCGCGCGCCATGGTCACCCAGGTCGGCATGTCGAGCGTCGGCCAGATCGCCATCGACCAGGGCGGGATGATGGGTCCGAGCTACTCGGAGGACCTGGCGGCGAAGATCGACGTGGCCATCAAGGAGCTGTCCGACGAGGGCTACCTCACGGCGCTCAAGATCGTAGTCAACAACCGCGCCTGCCTCGACAAGCTCGCGGACGAGCTGTACGAGAAGGAGACCCTCGACGGAGCAGCCATCAAGCAGATCATCTCGGAGTTCACGGAGATCCCCGAGAAGCTGGCTGCGGTGTGATCGCATCCTCGCAGCTCTGGCCCGTTTTCGTCCACGTCTTACATGTCTGGTTTTTCGCCCTTCGGGATTTTTTCTCGCAGGTGCCACTCTTCGCCCCGCCGGCTTCCACCGCCGGCGAGCGTCCAGCCTTCGGAAGCAGCGCGGGCGTGATTCCTCCTGCCTCGCCCGCTGTGGACTGGTCTCCACTGTACAGCGCCTCTTGCCTCGCCCGCTGCACCCGTCGCACCTGCAGCGCCGCGCCGTCTCGCCTTCGTCGGTCTCCCTCGCCGCTGGAAGCCTTTTCCGGCAGTGTACGGCGGGCCTCGGCGCGGCGGCTTTTCTTTCCCATCGGGGGCGAGGCGCCAGCCAGAGGCCCGGAGGCGTGGAACGCACAGGGCTCAGGTCGGGCATGTCCCGCGACAGGAGGAAGGTTCTGAACTAGTTCATAATAGTCTGGCGACAGATTTCCCAGCACTTCTGGACATACTTATACATATACACATACATACGTATATATATATATATATATACATACATACATACATACATACATACATACATACATACATACATACCGACCTACCTACCGACCTACCTACTTACCTACCTACCTACCTACCTACCTACCTACATACATACATACATACATGCATGCATGCATGCATGCATGCATACATACATACATACATGTATGGGTATATAGTAGACTCACTTTACGCATCAGCCCAAAATCCCAGAAAATCCGCCTGGAGGAGGACCTGCCCGAGCCAGCCGCGGAGCCCGGCAGGGGGAGAGCCTCACGGCGGCTGACGCCCTGGCCGCTCGCACTGCCGCACACACACCCCTGCCGAGCGCGCGTGTGTATAGCACGTGCCTCTCCCTGGGCGCGCGGCCATGACTCTCTGTGGCTGCGCGCGGGAGAATCTGTAGAGCTCGAAGAGGAAAAAACGGCGTAAACCTAATTTTTTGGAGCTCCGCGCGGATTTCTTGGATCCGGCCCCAATCCGCGCGGAGCGCCAAAAGTTTCATGTTTATGTGTTCTTTTCTTCTTCTTGTAGCGGGGTGGAAAAGAGCCTGGTCGGTGTCGCGGACGTGTGACGGCGGCAAGACTTGGGGGAGGGGGAGGAAGGAGGCGAGGCCCTTTATTGGGGGGGCGACAAGACTGGGAGGAAGGCGTCGTGGACGTGTGAGGCGGCAAAGAGGAGGGGGGTGAAGGGGAGGAAGGGCATTGGGGGACGGAGGAGGCGATTGCCTCTTTGGGGCCTCTGAGGGCATCTTCGGACCCTCTTGGGCAGTCTAAGGCGCTTGAGGCCCGTCTGACACCTGCGGAGACCATCTCGGTGGCCTCTCTGGGCCGACTCGGGGCCCCCTTGTGTCCCTTGGGACCATCTTGGAGGTTTCTAGGGCCCCGAGACGGCCCTCTTGGAGCCGTCTTGTGGGCATTTGGCACGTCTTGTAGTTTTCTCTTGGTACATCCTTGGGCTGCCATGAAGGAGCTCACGTGGAGGCTCCTGGGGTAGTCTTCGGCGGATGGAATCCCAAAAATGCGAGAACAGGAAAAACTGGAGAAACAATAAACAATGGCGACCGATGATTTGGGCCTCTGCAGGCCCTCCTGGAGGGCATCTTGGAGAAGTCTTGGGTCGTCTTGGAATCTTCTCGGGCAAACTTCATAGCCTCTTGGACCCCCTCGTGGGCTGTCTCGAGTCCTTATCGAGGCCATCTTGGGCTTATTGGAGGCAGGTTGTGTTGAGTTTTGGGCCCGCCCAGGTGGCCGACGGGTTGGGCCGGAGGCCATTAGGAACCTCCTGTGGAAGGACCAAGAGATTCTAAGTCTCTACACGCCGAGCATCCTTTTGCGAGCAAAAGGGGGTGGCGGATGATCTAGTGGCCTTCGACCCATCCCGCCACCTGGTAGTGGTAGCGGACAAGAGGTCTTTTGGATACCTCTTGGGGGTTTTCTGGAAGGCCTCTTGGAGACCTGTTTGGTCTTCCTAGGTGCCTTCTGAGAGCTTCTGGGGCCTTTCGCGGCGTTTGGGGGCTTGCTCGAGGTCTCAGAGACAATGAGTTCGCGTTCCCCCTCTTGGGGCTCTCCGGTGCCCGTCCTAGGGGCCTCTTGGAGACCGTCTTGGAGCTATATTTAGAGCTTCTGGGGCCGGTCAAGATGCTCTTCACCCAGAGGCCTAACATGATGTTTTAAGAAAGAACCTGCAATTTTTAAGAAAGAGAATGCGTAGCCTCAGCTTTTTCCACAAACAGCTTGCTGAACGGGGTGCTGTTGTAATAGAAGCTAACTCCGGCCGAGGGAAGTCGGAGCAGAGACATCCTCACAAAAATTTGATGGTCCGGGCCGTTTCGCTTGAGACATCCTCACAACTCTCGTTTCTGAGTTGGCCGGGATTGGCCGTTTCGCCTGAGACATCCTCGAAAAGTTGCGCTCCGGGACGCCGCGCGAGAGGTGGTCCGGGCCGTTTCGATTGAGACATCCTCGAAACTCTGAGCCCCGAGGTGCCGTGCGAGAGGTGGTCCGGGCCGTTTCGCCTGAGAAATCCTCGCAACTCTGAGCTCTGAGATGCCCTGCGCGAGGTGGTCCGGCCCGTTTCGCCTGAGACATCCTCGAATGTCTGAGCTCTGAGATGCACTGCGCGAGGTGGTCCGGCCCGTCTCGCCTGAGACATCCTCGCAACTCTGAGCTCTGAGATGCCGTGCGCAAGGTGGTCCAGCCTGTTTCGCACAATCAACTCTGAGCTCCCAGGTGCCGCGCAAGAGGTGGTCCAGCCTGGGGGCCCAGGAGACCACATGTTACATATCCTCCCTGGGACCCTGGGAGCCCGCCTGAGACATCCTCGAACTTCTGAGCTCTGAGATGCCCTGCGCGAGGTGGTCCGGCCCGTCTCGCCTGAGACATCCTCGCAACTCTGAGCTCTGAGATGCCGTGCGCAAGGTGGTCCGGCCTGTTTCGCACAAGACATTCTCGCAACTCTGAGCTCCCAGATGCCGCGCAAGAGGTGGTCCAGCCTGGGGGCCCAGAAGACCACATGTTACATATCCCCCCTGGGACCCTGGGAGCCCCAGGAGGCCCCAGAGAGCTTCAGGAGGCCGCAGGACGCCCAGGACAGGCCCCAGGGGTCCGCAGGAGATTCCCAGGAGGCTCCCAGGAGGCCCCAGGAGGCCCCCTATCAGAACGTGTCAAGTTCATACACATCCGGTGTCGATTCGTTGATTTATCCTGCTCTTGTGCCCCCCCTCTCCATTTTGAGAGGCCCAAGCGGCCACAGGTTAGATATCCCCCCTGGGAGCCCCAAGAGGCTTCAGGAAACCCCAGGTGGAGTCCAGGAGGCCACAGGAGGCCCAGGAGGAAGCCCCAGGAGGAAGCCCCAGGAGGTCCCAGGAGGCCCCAGGAGGCCCCCGCAACTCGGAGCTCTGAGACGCCGCGCTCGAGGTGGTCCGGCCCGTTTCGCCTGAGACTTCCTCGCAGCACGTTTCGCCCGAGACACCGTCGCAACTCTGGGGTCCGAAATGCCGCGCGCGAGGTGGTCCAGCCCGTCACGCTGGAGACATCCTCGCAACTCTGGGCTCCGAGATGCCCTGCGCGAGGTGGTCCGGCCCATCTCGCCTGAGACATCCTCGCAACTCTGAGCTCTGAGATGCCGTGCGCAAGGTGGTCCGGCCCGTTTCGCACAAGACATTCTCGCAACTCTGAGCTCTCAGATGCCGCGCAAGAGGTGCTCCAGCCTGGGGGCCCAGAAGACCACATGTTACATATCCCTCCTGGGACCCTGGGAGCCCCAGAGAGCTTCAGGAGGCCGCAGGACGCCCAGGACAGGCCCCAGGGGTCCGCAGGAGATTCCCAGGAGGCTCCCAAGAGGCCCCAGGAGGCCCCCTATCAGAACGTGTCAAGTTCATACACATCCGGTGTGGATTCGTTGATTTTTCCTGCTCTTGTGGCCCTCTCCATTTTTGGGGGCCCCGACGGCCACATGTTAGATATCCCCCCCTGGGAGCCCCAAGAGGCTTCAAGAAGCCCCAGAGGGGGTCCAGGAGGCCACGGGAGGCCCAGGAGGAAGCCCCAGGAGGTCCCAGGAGGTCCCAGGAGGCCCCAGGAGGCCCCCGCAACTCGGAGCTCTGAGACGCCGCGCTCGAGGTGGTCCGGCCCGTTTCGCCTGAGACTTCCTCGCAGCACGTTTCGCCCGAGACATCGTCGCAACTCTGGGGTCCGAAATGCCGCGCGCGAGGTGGTCCAGCCCGTCACGCTGGAGACATCCTCGCAACTCTGGGCTCCGAGATGCCCTGCGCGAGGTGGTCCGGCCCGTCTCGCCTGAGACATCCTCGCAACTCTGAGCTCTGAGATGCCGTGCGCAAGGTGGTCCGGCCCGTTTCGCACAAGACATTCTCGCAACTCTGAGCTCTCAGATGCCGCGCAAGAGGTGGTCCAGCCTGGGGGCCCAGAAGACCACATGTTACATATCCCCCCATGGGACCCTGGGAGCCCCAGAGAGCTTCAGGAGGCCGCAGGACGCCCAGGACAGGCCCCAGGGGTCCGCAGGAGATTCCCAGGAGGCTCCCAGGAGGCCCCAGGAGGCCCCCCATCAGAACGTGTCAAGTTCATACACATCCGGTGTGGATTCGTTGATTTTTCCTGCTCTTGTGGCCCCCCCTCTCCATTTTTGGGGGCCCCGACGGCCACATGTTAGATATCCCCCCCTGGGAGCCCCAAGAGGCTTCAAGAAGCCCCAGGGGGGGTCCAGGAGGCCACGGGAGGCCCAGGAGGAAGCCCCAGGAGGTCACCAGAAGGTCCCAGGAGGCCCCAGGAGGCCCCCGCAACTCGGAGCTCTGAGACGCCGCGCTCGAGGTGGTCCGGCCCGTTTCGCCTGAGACTTCCTCGCAGCACGTTTCGCCCGAGGCATCGTCGCAACTCTGGGGTCCGAAATGCCGCGCGCGAGGTGGTCCAGCCCGTTACGCTGGAGACATCCTCGCAACTCTGGGCTCCGAGATGCCGTTCGGGATGAAGAGGAGGTGGAGGAGGAGGAGGAGGAGGAGGAGGAGGAGGAGGCATGTTTTAACATGCCATGCCAGCCCGCATTGGACGGGCACGCAATCGACCTTGGAAACCGCAGTGGGTCTAAAACCCAGTTTGGGGATACTGCACTCCGGCTATGATTTTTCTGGCCTCGGCCTCTGAAGCTGGCCCCACGGACTCCAAGACGGCCCCAGGACAGTCCGTTGGGGCTCTCTTACGACACGCGGGGGAGTGTGGACTCCCAACCGCGCCCCTACGGCCTTGAGAAATAGTCCCGCGGGGAGTCCCGAGGGCGCCAAGGAGCGCCCAAGAATTGCGGGAATTTGCGGCTCATAAAACAAATTTACACACATGATTTGTAGGACTTTCTGGGAACTGAGAATGCTCCTCTCGGTGCCTCCCGGCGCGGTGGCGGATGCGCACTGCAGCGCTCTAGTACGATGCCCATTCTATTGCATCGCTTTC